AAAGCAGAAAAAAGGCGCCAGCCATGTAAATGCAAATGCTGCGGGGGATATTTAAATCCCCCGCGGATTTGCAATTCTGAAGTGTCTCATCTGCATCCCTTTTCCGGAAAAGGGGTGCAGTGTAGACACAGCCAAGGATTTAAAGTAGCAGCATATATAGCAACATACATACTTAGCATTTCCTCCAGTCCACTCCAAGATAATCTGGCCAGCTAATCCTACCACAGCAGGTGGGATTATCTGGCTAAATTACTTTGGAGTGAACTGGAGGAAATAAGAATAGGGGGAAGTATTTATTTCTCAATTAGTGATGTCATCAGAAATAGCATTAGCATCACTGAGCAGTGATGGGGAGGGGAAACTCTAACAATGTAAATTATTCAGTCCTTTATCATTAGCCTTTGACATTATAACTAGCCTGTTCAAAGTGCTAGGAGATTATGGAGCCAATCCAATTTTGGAAGGGTTTAGCCCTGGTTGGGCACCAGGAAGGAGCTGCCACAATAATTGCCATTGGGAGATCCTGTTACTGCGCTTTTGCTATGTGTTTTCTAAGGCTGATGCAGTGGCAATTCTGCCCCTTTCTTTGTCTTCTGTAGGATGAAAGGTGGGTAGGTGCTGGGGGTTCAAAGTTTGTTTTCCTCAGATAAAAATCCAAAACTATTTGGGTTATCCAAACTTTGGGACACTGCTCCCCCCATCCCCGGCAACCAAGTGAAATGTTCTAACAACATCAAGCGAGTGATGGGTAAGCACAGGGTCTTATATGACACTTCCAACAGGCCTGGGCACCTCTCTCTTAGCTTGTTTTATCTCTTTAAAGGGCTGGTGATCTACTTTTCTACCTTTCCTTAGTCTCTGCATTGCATAAATTGTAGGCTTGATCTTCCTTCTTCGGCACAATTCTCAATACTCCCTCCAAAAAAAAAAAAAATCAAACCTGAGGCAGCCTCTTTTGTGGGCAAATTGCCACCAATTCTTCAGCAGTGAGACCCTGAAGTATTATAGACCATGCTGAGGTCACTGCTTCTGGCCCAAGGATGAGAATTTCATTAAAATATGCTACTCTGCTACATCCTGGCCATTGGACACTTTGCATCATAAATGATCCAGGAGTAGTGGCCATAGCATGATTTGTTGGAACATTTCCTTATTCTGTTGTTGAAGAAGGGTTGGCAGGCTCGCTGTCCATCCCCCCAGAAGGTCCCTTACCCCTGAATTTTGGAGGAGTGTTATTGCCAACTGCTGTGTGAGGGAGATCACTCATCAAGGGCATCGGCATAGACTCTCCTCTTTTAATGGTATATCCTGCCAACAGCTGCTCCAATCCAGTGATGATCTGCGAGGGTATGTCTATACTTACTTGCACCCTCTTTCGAGAGAGGGATGCAAATGTAGACATTTGAAATTGCAAATGAAGCCAGGATATAAATATCCCGTGCATTGTTTGCATATTCGCGTTATGGCGCTATTTCGCCAAAAGAAATGCTGTCTAGACGTGGTTATCTAATATGCAAATGAAGCATGAGATATGTAAATCCAGGCTTCATTTTCAATTTTGAATGTCTACATTCGCATCCCTCTCTCAAAAGAGGGTGCAAGTGTAGACATATCCATAGTCAGGCGAGGGGCTTCAGCGCCCCATTGCATCAAGGTGCGAAATAGCGCTATTTCAAAATAGCACAATAACGCTAATATGCAAATGAAGCATGAGATATGTAAATCCAGGCTTCATTTTCAATTTTGAATGTCTACATTCGCATCCCTCTCTCAAAAGAGGGTGCAAGTGTAGACATATCCATAGTCAGGCGAGGGGCTTCAGCGCCCCATTGCATCAAGGTCTATGAACTGAGCCTTCTGACTTCAGGGCCTTCTTTCACCAAGAATACATCTACACAGCAGCATTTTTTTTTAAATAACTTAGTCCGTGTCTACACAGTAAGCAGTTATTTCAAAATAATGTTGAAATACTGTCAAGCTGGAGGACTTCTTACTCTGACTCCTGTAACCTTCATTGTACGAGGAGTAAGGGAAGTTGGAAGAAGAGTGCGCTATTTCGAAATAAGCCAGGCAATTGATGTAGCTCAATTTGCGTAGCTTATTTCAAGTTAAGCCCTGCTGTGTAGACACACCCCTAGAGGTATATCACCATATCAGAGGTATGCTTTCTGCCTCCCGCCCTGACTAGGTTCTGGTAGGGAAACCTGGGCTCACCTGCTCACTAATTGCCAGTGCAGAGCCCAGCAGCTGATAGTTAAGTGCTGTGCCCAAAACTGTGATGATGTTACTTCCCTGGGTCATTCCTACCAGTACCCTCTTTCTCAGCACATAAAGGGTGTGTCTAGACTACAGGGTTTTGTCGACAAAAGCCCACTTTTGTCGACAAAACTATAGCTGCGTCTACACTACCGCCATGTTCTGTTGACAGTAAGTTGACAGAATGCGGCAGTTTTGTCAACGATGGTAAACCTCATTCTACGAGGAATAACACTTTTTTTCAATAGTACTTGTTGAAAAAGGCACTATTGCATTCAAAATGTGCCTTTTCGAAAGAGAGCGTCTAGACTCTCTTTTGAAAAAGTGGCTTGCTTTGTACTGGTTGTAGTCTAGATGCTCTTTTTCAACAGAGGCTCTGTCGACAGATACTGTCGACAAAGCCTCTGTCGAAAAAGGCGTGTAATCTAGACATACCCCAAGAGAAGATAATAAAAAAATGAAATCAAAGGTAAAGCCTCAGACCTGAGTGCCATATGCACCATTTTCTGGGGGTTTGGTGAAGTCACAACCACCAAAGGCTTCAGGACATCTGTTAGTGCTGCTTTCCTTCACCTGTCTTTTGGTGGTGCTCCTCTTGCAGTTTTTCTTTCTTAAATATTTATTATTTTTGTGTCCAAGTTTGACAAAGCCAAATCATTCATAATCCTTTCTTCCCTATTAACTGTTCAAAAAAGTTGTCTTTAGAAATACCGCTATCATCACCTCCAAAGCCTCTGGGAACCCTGATGAAGGTATGGGGCTGGCAAGGGGGGGTTCCCAAAGACCCCAAGAAGCCCCTTCAATCAATGTTGTTGTACATTTTCCCATATCTTGCCCACCACGGATTGGCAGCATTCTAAAGTGATCTCTGTATGGTCCCATCTGTCTAGTGACCCAAATCTGAGCTCCCACTACTAGGTATTGTCTCATACCCTTAAACTGTTTTGCCTAGCTCTCCTAAACTCATTTAATAAGCTTGGAAGTAATTATCTTGAAAATTATGCTCTGGCTTAGAAAAAGCTATTAGAACTGGTCACATATATAAACATTTAAATGCTTTACATAAGAATGGGATTACAGTGACATTTTTCATTTTCCTGAGTTTCTCTTTTGAACAAGATTTCAACACTGAAACGTCAACTGTTTTATACCTTTCAACTTGTGGTCGAAATGTCACTTTTTCCTCCCTTCACTTTTTCCTCAAAAAGGGGTTGAGGGAAAAATGAAAGGGGAATAAAAGACGAACTACAGCTCTGCTTCCCCCACTCCTTTTACAGGGGGAGGGTTGTGAGTGTGGCTGCATGGAAAAGAGATGAAAGGGAAAAGTTGGAGGAAAATAGGGCTTTATACCCCCACAATTCACATGACTGGCCTGACTGGCAAGATGATGGCAATATTCTGCTTAAATTAACTTATGTTTTTTCTTGGTCTTAAATGCTGAGTGTTTGAGTGGTGATAGACATTTTTTTCTTTCCCGTTGAACCATTCCATCAGCTCCCAGGCTTTTCATTTCATTCCTGGTGGGGATGTTTACTATGGCAGAGCCTACAGAAAAGTGCAGTCTATTCTAAAAATGTCAAGCCAGCATAATTCGTGAATAGTAAACTGATTTTGCAGAATTATATGTGACTATTTACATGTCACATAAGCCCCAGGCAATGAAAATTATTTAATTCTTAAGAGTTTATGTATTTCAGTCTGTAGTTTTACCTAAGAACAACACTCTATAATAAATGCATTAGGTGTTGAAGTGTATGACAAATCCTATATGAACATCTATATTTCCAGGCATAAAACTTATCAGGCTGGTCAAAGTGCTCAAGTGCTTGGAGTCAATGCTGTGCTATTCCTATTCCGGAGTTCTACCTCCCCCAGGTAACTGAACTGCATGCACTGTGTTATGAATTTTGCTCTGTTATACTTGCATCATTTTCCCTACCAGGATAACCTAAAGCTGAATTGGGCTGGGTTCACTGTGTTTGACTGATCAAGTTGCAGACCCAAGTGGGTGCTTACCTTTCCCAATTCTTCCTCAGTGTCTCCTTACCTGTTGCTCCTTACATGTGAGATGTCCTTTCTATACTACTTCACTAAGCCCCACCCGTCCTCATTCAGAATCTGCCTATGACAGGGGTGGGCAATAATTTTTGAAAGGGGGCAATGGATTTCAGAAGTGGTTGTGGGACTCCTTGGTCAGATGGGGAGGAGCCATGAGACTGTGCATTCTCCTCCACCCACAGACCCTGATTGACCTAGGAGTGGGGGAGTGGGTGAAGTCTTTGCCCCCCGTCCTGCTAGTGCCACGCACTCTGCCAGGGGGAAGAGACTTTGTGCATTTCCCTGTGCCTAGGTCTCAATTGGCCTGAGGGCGGGGGAGCAGCAGAGTGGCCATGGGCCGGATCAAAGGGCTGGGTGCTGTCTTCCCCACCCCTAGCCTATGCCTTACCTCGGCTTCATAAGAAGTTAAAATTACAAAAGTCTATTTAACCCCTCTGTCCTCCCTCCCCAAAAATCCTTTTCTTTACTTTTTTTTTCCCCAGTGGCTTTTCCTTTCTTTTAATCTGGTTTGTAGACTATAAACTCTTTAAAGCAGGGCTTGTTTTTATTGTGATTCATACAACCCTTAAGTTCATAGCCAATTCTGGCCAATATCCTTCAAAAAGGAACTAGGAATTAATGTATGGAGGACAGATGCTCAGTCACAAACCCCGCATCTAGAACAGAGGACTGAGTATGTGTGCATTTTTACAAGTGCTCATTTTCCAATGTACGTTCATAGACACTTGGCAGCCTTAAGGACTTAATTTGGATAATATATTTATGTAGTATTAAAGACTTAAACAATTAAGCAGCTTGAAGACCCCCTTGAATCTCTAGGGTGGTTTGTGGCTTTGTGTCATTTTAAGACCTTAAAGCGGATTACACACTTATTACACTAAATATGCCATAACCACTTAATAAATGTTAATCAGTCTCTACTCCACATATTCTGCTTCCCACCCCCAGCACCCTGCCCTGCCTCCTGCACCTCCCACACATCCTAAACCCCTACCAGGAGCCCCTCATACATCCCAAGTTTCAGTCTTAACATTTAGTGATTTGGCCCTGTATTTTCAGAGACCCAGGTAAATTAAATTAAATGCAGAGATTAAATTTCACAGTTTGCACTTTTTAATGTCAGGAAATATCCTCACAGTGCTGAAAGGTGAAGTTCTTGAAATTACACTGATTCATACATGTTTTATGTAGAGTTTATTTTCTATTACTATGTCTGGTTAAATGTATGCTTATTACTATTATACACACAAAATGCATTAAAAGAACATTTACTAAGCTTGCAAAGTCAAGCATTCAAAGGTTAGAAAATGCCAGATTTAAGGAGGCCTCCTTGCATATATGCATTATTATAATCTTTAATTAATTACATCACACATCCCTCCCTTATTCTGTGTGTCAGATGGATGGATTTAATATTTTGTTGTATCCCCATTCCTCAAAGTTCAGTCTTATGTATTGCACACTATTAAACCCTGGTTTGAAGGCAGAATTATTAATTTCCTCCTGGACTTTTCAGTAGTGCTCATCCCTGTGATATCTGAGTACTTCACAGATTCATTTATTTTCATAATAACCCTGTGAAATGACAGGGTATTATTAGCCCTATTTCCCGGATGGAGAATTGACATTCAGAAATATTAAGGTCAAATGTATCCAGGTGGAGTGTTTGATTTGAGACAACTGGCATCTGGTTTTTCAGAGTTCCTAGCATTGTTATGCATTCGAAGGACTGCTCCCATTTTAATTTTGGTTGCAACTGTGAGTGCTCAACACTTCTGCAGACCAAACCCTATATCCTTAAATTGAGCAACCAAAAAATTGGGAGCACCCAATTAAAGAAAACTTGTGATGTGTTCGATTAAAGAGGCTTGTCCAGTATCACATGGGAACTGTACAGCAGGGATAGAATCCAATTCTCTAGGGCAGCATTCAACTGCCTTAATGACAAGACTCTTCTTGCAACAGTCTCCTTCATTACAGAACTCTGATTCACTCCCAGGACAAGTCCACCCACTGCACTGAATGAATGTTGTGGGAAAAAATAGCAAGTGCTTAGGTATCAATGCATAAGCTCCAGAAAGCACAGGCAACCTCATTTGTGTGTGTGTGTGTGTGTGTGTGTGTGTGTTTGAGAGCGAGACAGAGAGTGTGTGTGTGTGTGTGTGTGTGTGTGTGTTCCTAAGTGGGTTTTTTAAAAAAAGGAAACATGAAAAGAAGAAGTTCCATCATGGGACACTACAGTATGTGATATGCAGAGTTGGAGCCTTTAGATCCACAGCATGGACCTTTGCCACTTGAGCCAACAGAGCAACTGGTAACAAAAGTAGTTAGTCATCCACTGTGTGGATCTGCACTAGAGGGGGAAGGGGCACTTTGCCAGTGGGTTTCATGGATATTTGCTGGCAGCAGAGGTATGGTGAGACTCAACATCTTAGGCTCCATTCCTCCTTTTTCTCCTCTGGCTTCCCAATCTCTCTCTTCCTCTACCCACATTCCCCATTCTGACCAGCTCCCTGTCTGCCTTCCCAGCCAACTCCAGTCTCTCCTCTTCCCCCTCTCCAGACACTTGTCTCCAAAAGTGCGGGGAGGGATTAGGGACACAGCCCCACCCACTGGCCTGCACCCCTAGATATACTGGTGAAAGTGAGCCAGTATGAGCAGAGGTGAATAAATTACCATTTTGTGGGGCCCTGGACCAGAGCAAGTTGGGGCCCACCTCCCTGCATTTTCTACCTGCTGTCCCCTCTATTCCCCCCCTTGGAGCTCCTGCCTGCCCAGCACTCTTGCCGGGTGGAGAGATAAGCCTCTATGTTCCAGCAGGAGTGCCAAGCAGAGTGAGGCAAGACCCTGTGCCCTGGCCCCACTCCTGGGTAGGAGTGCCAAGTGGGCAGAGTGGTGCAAGACCCTGTGCCCTACCCAATGTTGGGTGAGCAGAGTAGGTCAGGATGCAGGGGCAGCCATTTCCCCAGCCCACTAGACCTCTGGGCATGGGCTCCATTCACCTAGTGGCTAATATACCACCCAATATGGGAGAAAGACAAGCAACCCCAGTAGAAATGGTGTATCAGTGACCCTTGCTAAGGGCGATGTATTCAGCAGTCCTGGGCATGATGAACAATGCCTCGAGGAGAAGATGGCCATTTTTCATTGCCCTCCCCCCCCCCCCCCCCCCTTGAATGTAGATTTATACACTTAATACAATATCATGAACAGACAGTTATGACTCTCTCTTTTACCCTGGCTGAGTGCAATCTGAAATACCTTGATACAGCTCCACAGGATGAAAATCAATGTAGCATGTGGCTTGTTATGTGTTTAATTCAGACGTTTGCAGATCTTGCTCACAGACTTATGTCACTTACTAACATTTTTTTAAAACTTACTCTCTACCAGAGGCACTGCTTTTTTCTTCGGTGGCGCTGGCTAATATTAACTCTAGGTCTCCAACATAATCTCTGAGAATGTCAGTAGTCACCTATATTCTATTATGTGCCATCAGCCATATCTCTGGATTTTTTTTTTCCCCATGCAGGAAACTTAGTCCCTCCTCCTCTTCCCCTTCATCCATTGTAAGTGATATGACTTTCATACAGGGTACAGAAGGCAGTCACATGAGCCTAAACAAGGTATGTTGGCAGTTTGGTTTCCATTTCATCCAAACTAAATGTCTATAGCACAGCTAAAAACAACAGAAGCCAGTGGTTTGCCAAGATCAGTGTGCTGCCATGCTGAGGTCCCTTGCTCCACAGATGCCTGACTTATTTTGCTTCCTGGGCAAAAGAGCAAGCACAGCGCAGATATGGAAATGAAGATGGGATCTGGGAGTATATGCCATTCAGTAGCTTGCGACTGGTACATGGAGTGACTGGTATCAAAGGATGCGCATCACCAGCCTTTCCTGTTTGAGGGGAAATGATAGAGGGCAAGAAATGAGAAAATTGAGATTCTCTAGATTGAAATGTCAACCCTGTATTGTAGGAAAACTAGCATGGGTTCCATGAAAAATAACTCTGATATTTATAGTACTTCCTTGTAAGGTTCTGAATCAGTATTTTTGAGATCTACCTTCCTTTTCCCCCAGCACCTGATGCAGAGAGCCACAGGGAGCAAACAGCCACTTAAAGCAGTCTGGGGCTTCTCAGAAGCAGCTGGCTGCTCTGTGCCTGAGGGTCCCAGTGGGGTGGCCCGTGGCCAGATTGGGAGGTCTGTGGGCCGGATCCAGCAGCTTAGCAGGCCAGATCCAGCCCATGGGTCATGTCTTGCCTGCTGCTGTACTAGACTGAGGAGGCTTGTGTTCTTCTATAACCCTTTATACTTCCTAGTCTCCCTCCTGACTCACCAAATATTCCATTCTTTCCTACGGACCCTGCCCAACAACCCGCCCTCCCCTCCACCATTGCCCTTGGAGTCACTTCAATGGGTCCACATCTCTGTACAGCAGAACCTCAGAATTACGAACACTTCAGAAATGGAGGTTCTTCATAACTCTGAAATGTTCATGATTTTGGACAAAATATTATAGTTGCTTTTTCAAAAGTTTACAGCTCAATTGACATAATACAGCTTTGAAGCTTTACTAAGAAGAAGAATGTTGCTTTCCCTTTATTTTTGGTAATTTACATTTAAAGCAGTGTTGTACTGTATTTATTCTTTTTCGGTCTGCTGCCAGCTTATTGTGTACTTCTGGTTCCAAATGAGGTGGACTCTCCGATCATAAGACTGAGTTTCTGCTGTAGTTGATAGACCCATTTGGATTGACATGGAGTGAAGTTTGGAGGCAATCCATTTGTCCAACACCTCCAACTATGTGACTGAGGCCATGTGAAAGTACTGATGTCAGAGTGAAAAGCCACATTCATGCAATTCTAGCAGGACTTTGTATTAGGAGTGTGGTAAAATTCAGTTAAAAGCAGAGTTTAAGAGAAGCAGCAGACAGAATTTGACCGACATCTTTAAAAAGAGAGGGGTGCTGAAATTGGGCTATATGTGGAAAAGCTTTGCTATATTATCTATTTTTGCTCCAGGGAAGAATAAGGACTAGTGGGGAGAACTGCAGAAGCACCTAACTCCCATTCATGTGTGATTTCAGAAAAATTCCCCTGTGGATTTATATTCTGAGTGTGTGTCCATTCGTTATACCAAAAAAGTATTAACTTAGCCCAGACCCTTCTTGGAAGTTGTGACAATATTAGTTAAAGTTTCACATTAGGTTCTCAAAAAATTAGTAATTATTTAAATAATGAGTCTAGAGAGCTCTTTCTCCAGGCATGTTATGGCCCAGTACTGTATTTACTCTCTTTTCTTTCAATTTTCTGGCTCAGTTTCTGTTTTATGTCTTGTTTTTAGGAAGATGTAAACACTGTTGAAGACTCCCCAACAGTAGGTATGGAATGTGTTTCTCTTTATACTATAAAGTTTCCTGGACGGTTGGGGAGGAAAGAGTATGGGTGAGGGAAGAGTCCATTTTTGAAATTGTTTGCCTGTTGTCAGAAAGATGTGTGCAAGTATCAGACTAAAGCGTATAGAAATCCCAGCTGCTCAGACATTTGTGTGAGGTTCCACAGGGATTTGTTTCATCAGTGCTAATTTTCAGTGTGCATGGAAGGCAGCTGGAGCAGATAGTGAGAGATGGGGTGCTGAAATACCATCAGCATGCAGATTGTGTGTCCCAGTGGCAGGGCAAGCATGGGTTGCACCGTCATCCAAATAGAACAGAATAATTGATGTTAGACAGTGTCTATCAACATTACTGATACCGAGTCATCTCATATAGGCCACGGGTCAGGTTTGAGCTAGTGACCCATAAGTACAAGCAAAGAGACCTTTAAAATAAAGATCTTGGTTCATGCACATCTTTAGAAATAGAGAGCAAAGGGGAAAATAGCGAAGGCTAAATTGTCACATGCTCAAGAGACAGACAGACTGTACATAGGGATTGTAGATGGTTTACAGAAGGATAGAACACTCTCTCTCCGAGGCTGCAGAATATGGACAGAGCCATTCCCTGGGCTACATCTGCAGCCTCAAGACCGAGGAACTGGCTGCTGCTGTAGCCCTGCAGCTTTCCTTCCTTGGAAGACTCTGACCAGTGAATCTGCATGTTCACAGGTCCTCTGGTCATATTCCTGTCCTATCCTTCACAGTCAGAGATGCAGTGGAGCCTTGCTGTGAGGTACACAAGAGGAGCGCATGTAGTATCTCCGAAATGAATGATGCAGTTTGGCACAAGATGTCTCATGAGAAAACTTTCTAAACAATGTATCTCCAACATCTCTCAATGGCTCCTTGCCAGTATTTATGAAGTATTTTCAAAGGGGCCTCTTTTATAACGAAGTTTTCTTTTGTCAAGGTTTGGGTTTTTTTAGTGTTATGCCACTGCTTTGTGTTCAAAGAAAGCACTGTAAGAACTATGGCAAGAAGATAACGGAGTCAATTATGTTCCAAAACAGCAGGGGAAGAGACCACCACTGAGAAGGACATGCAGTTCTCTGACACCAAAAAATCATCCTCTGGCTTTTCCAAAGCCATTGCTGGACACAAATGCTCACCGATACTGGCCTCTGCTCATGAAAATGGCTGTGTCTATCTATGGACTCTTGGGGTAATGTATTTGATGATATTTTGGGAGGGAGCTGGGGGTGAAAGGAGAGGAAAATGCTCTTTAGCATCCTGCTCTCGCCTAACATATGCAGTAATCTACTGGTCATTATTTCTATGAACACAGTTTAGTGCTGCTTCAACAGCTGTAGCAAAGGGAAGGAAGAAGTCATGGCTTTGCATCGTTTTAGTAACAACTGATGTTAACTCCTTTGGGGTCCATTCTTTATTTCCTTCTGAGACAGTGTGATGGACAAGGCAAAGTCTGCTATTCCAGTTATAAGAGGAAATCTGCTCTGTTCACTGACTTTCTTTGAAAAATAATGTAGCAGTAATAGGCTATGTACTTGTGTGAATGAGTAGAGCATCAAGTACAATTTGCATATTGTACAGTCCGGTTGATGTCAGTGGAGTTACTTAACAGGGAAGAATTTGAGCCTATGTGGCTAAATTAAGATATATTATAAAAAGGTTTTTGGGACCGCAGAGTTTTTAATTAACTGTGATATTGAACTCTTTGGGTATAATAAAGCTGCTCAATGTACATTGTTGGTATAAAATCTGATTAATATGCTATTTACTTAATGCATGAAAAATCAAAGCAACGGAAAACATTGCATCATATTGACATGATAAAACTTCTGTTGTTTTGATTTGTTTTTATGGATGAAGTATAGGGGAAAGCAGACTTTGTTTGTTTGTTTGTTTTAGGGAGATTTACTGAGAGAAGTTTTACCCTTCACAAAGCATCCTGCAATTCCTCTGATTACTTTGTGCACTGATATCTCTGCTAAAATGCTTTTGGCTGCCACCAAGGGTAAGTGACCACTTGTCAGTCACAGTTCTCTGGACTCTTGGTAGTGCTAGAAAAAGATCATAAAAACATCTGGAAATACAGCAATGACAGACCAAATCAAAACTGCATTAAAAATTTAGGAAAGGGAAGTGTACATGAAGTGACAAATGCAAGTTAGTTAGCAACTAACAATTGTGCCACTACAGAGGCTATTTTCAAGAATGATGTGTTGTATTTTCTTTACACAAAGAACTCCCATATTCTTACCATCTAAATTCCCTCAATGTAAACGAAGGGAAAAGATTAACAAAAAGACTAAGCAAAAGTCCCACATTCCCCATAAAAAGCTGCAGCAACTAAAAGCAAATTGGCTGCTATTGTTGCACGCAGACAGAATTAGTTCATGGACAGTGAAAAGTTCAGTGTACAACAATGACCTTTGTTTTTCTAAATACACAGCAAGGTGGGGAGAAAAGCATTACCAACGCCTCTGCTAGCGCACCTTTCTTGCATCATTGATTTAACATTCAGTGAACCTTACAATCTTGAGCTTATCTAAACCTCTCATGCTTTCAGATGTGGCCTGAAAATCTTTGTTTCCGTATATCTCATGTGACATCCGGTACTTACATATTTTTCCTGCTAGAAATCTCACAACAACAGAATTTTTCACAGTAATTCCATCCTTCCTGATCTGCTGCTGGGCAGAATGAGATGGAAAAAGCTTTTCCAGACATTTCATAACTTAATAACGGTGTGAGACTGACACCAAGGGTAACTCTCCATTGCAAGAGGGGTATGAATGGGGTAGCTTGTGTGGGCATAGCCACACTAGTTGTACTCTAGATAGCTCGGTAAAAATAGACATGAGGAATCTATGGTATGGGCTTCAGCACCAGCCAGACAATAAATATGCACCCACAGGAGTCAGGTGGGTTGTGCAACCCATGCTGAAGTCCACACTCCTCACCTCCATTTTTGATGAGCTAGCCATAGTACAGCTGGCATGGTATGTCTACATGTGCTTCAAACCATATCCTTGGCTGCAATGGAGACCTGCACTAAAAAATGGACAGAAAGCTTTCCTTCTAATCAGTGATCCCATACTGCATAGGTACAGCAAGGAGTTTTTCAGGTGGGCATGGAGAAGTACTCCACGTTACTGTCACACCAGTTTTCTTCTGCATTTGATGCTTTCCCTTTTTGACCTCTTGCTTGCATGCCACTGGCTGCAGATTCTAAGTGGTTGCATGTGGTCTTCTTACTAGTTCTGATTAGTGTGCCTCCTGTACCCTCTTCCTCCTCCCCACTACTGATGTCCACTGTTGTATTACCGAGATAACTTCTGTTAGCCCCTCTGCTCCTATCTCCTTCACTTCCTCCCTTCTCATCCTTTCCCCTCTACAACAAAGGCATCCTCTAGTGGGGCTGTCAACCCTTCTCTCTGCCCAAGTATACACTTTCAGAGAGTAGGTCAGCCAAGGATGACTGTTGGGACTACCCAGCCCGGAGCCTCCTAGTGGGAGAGCAACAAAGGGGAGATGGAGGAACTGGAACAAGGAGCAGTGGAGGGACACTAAATAAAGGTAAATGTTCCATTTCAGTGGTCAGTCTCCCGCATCTTGGTCTGTGTCCCCTTCCCTTCCATGAGTGCACTAGAAAGGCAGGAGTCATTTGTCTTTTTCATTATGCATGGGATTAATCAAACTCTGTCCAGTTTGTCATTTCAAAATGAAAAATGTCACCCCCATTAAAGTTCCTCATGTTTGGTCTATGCAGAAGGTAAGTCTGTTTAGTAGGTGATTTTTGTATGTGATTGTAATAGTTTACATTCTTAGATGGCTTTAACAAACAGGTAAGGCTGTGCTGTTAACATGGTATTCTTCATAAATAGGTGGGAGATCCATATGGTAACACATAGACTAACATTTTCTCCTTTATATTCACTAATGAACTAGTTAAGTGATGTTTATGTTATCCTGAAAACTAACTTTTAATGCTCAGATCCTTGGTCTCCTTTTACCTTGTCCATGACAATTGATGGCACATCTAGCAAAAGGGATAGAAATGTAGCCATGTTAGTCTGGTGTAGCTGAAGCAAAATACAGGACTATGTAGCACTTTAAAGACTAACAAGATGGTTTATTAGATGATGAGCTTTCGTGGGCCAGACCCACTTCCTCAGATCAAATAGTGGAAGAAAATAGTCACAACCATATATACCAAAGGATACAATTAAAAAAAATGAACACATATGAAAAGGACAAATCACATTTCAGAACAGAAGGAGGATGCGGGGTGGAGGGGAAGGAAGGAAGGTAAGTGTCTGTGAGTTAATGATATTAGAAGTGGGGAAAGTTAGATGTCTGTGAGCTAATGGTATTAGAGGCGATAATTGGGGAAGCTATCCTGGTAATGGGTAAGATAGTTGGGGTCTTTGTTCAATCTCCCCCCCCCCCCCCCCCCGCCGCGCGCTGCG